AGAGGTGGGTGGTGTGAGATGGGAGACATGGAGGGCCAGTGGGTCACATAGAGCTTTGGAGGCCACAGTGGGCCGTTGTATGCCATGTCGCTCTAGATAAGAAGTTAACTCTTTTGAGGACCCTATCTGTAAAAGGGGAATGCTAATATTCTCTAGGCTGACTTTGTGAGGTTTGTTGTAAATATAGAGAGTGAAAATGGCAGTCATTCAATTCTGTCCAACTCTTTGTGACCCTGTGGACTGTAGCCCACCAGGCTCCACAGGCCATGGAATTCTCCAGGCAAGAATACTGGACTGGGTAGCCATTCCCTTCTCCAGGGGATCTTCCCAGCCCAGAGATCGAACCTGGGTCTCCCCTTATTGCAGGCAGTTTCTTTACTGTCTTTACAAGCCAGCAGGGTTGTAAATATAAATCAAGATGCTATAAATCAAGGTTCAATATAAGAGTTTTTTAAAGCTCAATGTGATTGTTGTTGTCTGGTAGGCATTTGATGGAATTCTTGGTGCATGGAGAAGCAAACAAAAGAATAAGATAACAAAGATGCAAATAGCAAACTATGTTGTCTTTGTCATTCCTAAAAGGGAGGATCAAGAGGCACTTGGAAAAGGGCTGCAAATTTGGGATCACAATAGAAGAAGCTTTTTTAGTGGAGACATGATGAATTTTTAGAATGTATTTTCAGGGAGGCAGGTAGATAGCATTTAATGGCCTAACAAAAGCACTTTCTTTAAAATGCACAAGTAAAAAGGTTAACAATTTGAATCCATCTTGACATTTCTGAGTGTCAACCCCAGGGCTATTTTCTTCCTTGCTTAGGATCATCATTTTCACATATACTTGAGACTGTGATTTCCTGGACTGGACCACCCACCATGGAGTGGAGGCTGAGCATGAATGTAAATAGGAGCAGTTATTGGGCAGCATCTACACTTGCTATGCATTTCTTTCCTTTACTGTTTATTCCATGTTGTTGTAACCTGGTCATAAAGTGGATCATGGTGGTCTGGTGGTCATGTAGACCATTGTGGTCTTGGACTGAAGTCCATCCTTAATATGCCATAAAAACACTTGCTAAATTGAATAGATTCTGTGTTCTATAGACAACTGTATTGCTCTTCAGTGAGCTTGGAAACCAGCATATCCAGTGATCTTGATGAGTTGGATGGTTTTAGGGAAAACCAGGAAGAAGGTGAGGGATGTCTTTTATGATTTTGTCCCTTTCCCCTCACCCCCCTTTTTTAAACCAGTGCAATGCTGGCTATCTTTCTCGTGAGGGAATTAACCCTGGAGCTAACCTTCCATGACTTCCTCCTTATGAAGATTCTGGTGATTATACCCTCTCCTGGTTTCCTGGGGCATAGGGCTGCTAATAGCTCAGTTGCCATGATGAGCTCCAGGTTCTGTGTTTTTCTTTGTGGTTACCATACACTCACCCTTTGTAAATAAGCCACTTTGTTAAATAAATCTTTTTCAAATTATCCTATCGGGAATGTCCTCTGTGTGAGATCTGAACTAGTTCAGGCACTGTAATTGTTGGCCAACAAACCCTGTAGGCATGGCCTCTGCTTAGAGGCAACATTATATAGTAGAAAGAGCTTTGAGTTCAACTGGATAGTGTTTAAGTTCAGTTTTTGTACTTGCACATTTATTACTGTGGACTAAGTCTATAATGTCTTTGGTCCTCAATTATAAACATAAGATAACAATATCTTATTATTATTGTTTTGGTGCTTATATAAAATGTCTGCACGTAGTAGAGTCTCAGTCTCTGTTTTCACAAATATTAACGTAAGAATAAAAGGCCAAATGAGATTAGAAGAGGTACAGGCAAGCTGGTAAAAAGTTGGGTTAAGGCCAGGCCCTGAAACTCTCTTCATCCAGTCCCAGCATTTGTTTCAGTCTTCCTAGCAGGTCCCTCAGGAGAAAGGGGAACATGAAAGATGGTGAGTTTCTCTCCAGGTCAGTGAAGCTCTGGTTCTCACTGGAGAAATCCTTCTCAGTTGAGTGGAGCAGAGCTTAGCCAGCCCAGCTGATGTCACCCAGGTAGGGAGAGCCTGAGGCTCCCGGTGCTCAGCAAAGGGTACAGATGGCAGGAAAATGATTGGGTCCAAATGACTGGCCATGAGGGTCCAGAGTCTTTTTCATTTCTCCATATTTTTAAGATGTTGAGCATTAGCTCAGTTAAGACAGGCTTTGGATTATTTGGACCCTTTTCTTTTTCAATCAGGAAACACCAGAAGGCAAATTCATGAACACGGCCTTAACGTTTTTTATTTTGACATCCCTGTGACCTTTCCATTTTTCTTCTAGAGCAGACATATTGGGACCTCTACTGAGGGGTTCAAAGACTCTGGGATCCATATTGAGTAGAGAAATAAAATTGGACTGCTCAAATGTATGTGTACAGCACATGCATCTGGTTTTTCTATGTCATGTTTCCCTCTGGGAGATTTTCAGTCTTTGTCCTGGTATTTCTTCATCATTAGTGTGAATTTGTGAGGTCTGGAGTATGTAGTTCTGTTAAGGGAAACACACTGATGAAACTGCCCACCCTGGCCAGGCACCATAGTAACCATTTGCATGAGTTGTTTTATGACAGGAGATCCTGATAAGGAATACGGAACTAATAAGCCGCCACCAACTGGAAGAGTTTGGGAAAGGTCAAAAGGAGACACGGCATGTCTGTCCACTTCCCAGAATCCCTCTTGCTAGCATCCATCTTGGCTGAGCGATGCGTGCGCCACCAGGAAAGACTCTGAATTAGAATGATTGGCCAAAGACTACCCGGAAACTAATCCCATCACCATAAAACCCAAGATTGCAAGCCACGCGGCAGAGCAGTTCTCCTGGGTTCCCTTACCCTCCTGCTCTCCACCCGGGTGCCCCTTCCCAATAAAATCTCTTGCTTTGTCAGCACATGTGTCTCCTTGGACAATTCATTTCCGAGTGTTAGACAAGAGCCCAGTTTCGGGCCCTGGAAGGGGTCCCCCTTCCTGCAACAGTTCTGTCCCTCTCTTATGGGCAAAACCAATTTTATCTCATATTGTGAGGATAGTCTCATTCCTGCCACATTCGCAGGCCTTCAATAATCTTGTTGCCCTTCACTGGACCTTTGCATTTCCTGTTACCTCCAAAAATGTCCATCCTTGGATGCAAAGTGACATAGCTGAATGCATTATACATAAAAGTGTGAATGTCCCATTGGCTTATGTTACAGTTTTATGGCATTTTTCATATTACCTGTTCACTTCTTAATGTAGTCTAATTTGTACACTTTCTGACTGCAGCTGTGGTTTCTGTAAATATCTTTATTGGACTGTCCTTAGCTATGCCTGGATCTGTTTTCTGGGAGGTGGCCATTAATTTAGATTTATCAGTATATGGGAGCATTCTACAGCCTCCTCCCCAAAGTTCTGTTAAAATAGGAATGTGGAAGATTAACACATTTAATTAATAGACAAGATATTCATTTGTTCCTAAGGCCATCTACTCAAAAGGGTGATAAGTGATAAGCATTTTATAAGATATAATTCTAATTATGGGATGAGTTTTAGTGGTATTTCTCTATAATGTACAATGCTTGCTTATAGCATGGTGTGCCTATCTGATATGATATTATTCTAGCAAGCAATTCCATAAGGATGTGTTATGAATGAATCATATGGTGTCTTTCTCTTTGTCTGTCAATTGCACATGTAATGCATATAATAAGGACAGATATACCATAAGTTACAATACATAAGAGTACCTATATGTTTACTCATACATGCACTTGTAGAATGCTACCGACCCAAACTCTCTAGGGTGGGTGAGTTTTCTAATCCCTGCTGTTAGATCTTTACTGATTTATCCACGCCATTGTCCCCAGTAGCTGTGATCACCTTTCTCTCTACTGTCTTTCCTTTTTCTCCCTTCTTTTGAGATCTTTTCCACATAGCCTGCCCTGATTAGTCCAGCCCGCTTTGCTTTCGACTTTGTTTCTATTCAGGTAGGATCATGGTCAGTAACATATGATCTGAGATTACAGTTATTATCTAATTTCTTCAGGTGATTGATGTTGTCTCAGTAAGATTAGGGACCCTTGAGGAACCCTGATGAGAGGTCTCTGACAGTGCCTGGAATAGTGTAGGTTTTCAAAAATTTTAGTTGCTTCCAATTTGAAATATTAAAGTCTTCTGTACTCTTCATAAACATGTAATATTATATTGGAGCAGTAATTGATGTCAGTAAATACCTTTGTGTAATGCATGTATAAGTAAAGAGAATAGCCTGTGGTAAAACAGCGAGCTTAAAAAAATCAGAGCATGTTTAGTATGAGATAATTGTTTTTTCCTAGAAGAGGAAGTTTCTCATCAATGTAGTTTTTGTGAAGCTACATGTGCAGGAGTAGCCTATGGGGGTGTTTAGAAAAAATTTGTCTCTGAGGAGCTCTTAGAAAGTTGGCTTGAAGTCAGCATTGCCTCTGGGTTATCCTCAGCAGGGAGAAACTGATGAATACAAAGGACTGGATGACTCGAGGGCTGGGAAGCCAGTGTGACAGAGAGCATGTGCTTTCTGCCTTGGTGGTCTTCCTCAGTGGCTAGAGCCCAGTAGGGACTCAATAAATATTCTTTGAATTAATTTAGATATATTTTACGAATGCTGATGTCGAGCAAGTTTTGTGATTTCTTAGTCTGTTGATCACAAATATTCATGCCAGACAGTATTTCTGGAAGGAATTACATCAGCATAACGCAAAGTCCAAGGCAGTCTTTGGATAACTAACTGGCTATATTTTTTGTGTTAAGCACTAACATACCCTGTTGATTATTTTAGGGGGCCAAATGATTTACTTTTCCAGTTAGGAACTTGATTAAAATGTGCCAGAATCAGGACCTTTCTCTCCCTATCAGTTGGTGATTCCCATTTATTGCTTACATAATTTATCATTTTGCCTAGAGAAAAGACTGAATGCAGGGAAGCTTGTAACAGGTGTAGTGTATGTTCTTGTTTTTCCTAGTAGCAGATGGTGCTGAAAGAAGATCATCTCTGTGGGGCCATTACAGGATAATGCACAGGAATAAATAAGCACAACGATAGGTCTCAGCAAAGACAGCCGAGTCTCAAGTTGGTCCCACATTTGGAAATGGTGCATGTACAATGAGCAGGTTTATCGGTAAGCTCAGAAAGGCTTATTTAAAACTCTAGTTCTTTCCTTTTTATTTTCCTCCATATAAAATTTCCTCCCACAAATCAAACCACTGTGCTTCTCACTTGAATTATAGGTAGTGTATTAAAAAGATCTAAATAAAGTGAACTTCTTTGAGACAGTGCTTTGTACTACAAAGGAAGAGGTAATTTCCCTTGGAGTTCCTCCCCAGCCCCCAACAACTTCTGTTTTTATTTTAATGGATTTGATGGGACCTGGTCTTTGATCTTGGCCTCTTAAAAACCAAAGTACCAAAGGAAGGTTAATTCCAGCAATTCTCTCATAATGTACCTCTGCTATTCTGCTTGATGGACACTACATGAATATAATTTAACCTGTGGTGGACTGAGGATATAATTATTTTCTCTTGTACAAACATACTTTTTATCTTTCCTGAAACAAAAAAGGCCCCGTAGATATCAATTATATGTATGTAATATATATATATATACACACACGTATGTCTTTTCAGTAGATACACTCCTATATTTCTCATATTTAAAAGCGCATTTAAATTTGACAATGCCAGAGTGGTATTTCAGCAGGACCTAGCCTCGTCTTTTCCCTTTCCGTGTTTAAATTTTATTTCTTAATATCCCAGCCTCAGCAGTATTTGAGGAATATTGTTCCCTTGGTCTAATGCAATTTTTTCCACATGATGTATTCTTAGCCTGTCCCTTATCTTTCCTTCACTTGCTGACACCACTGTTTAATCCATTTGGGGCTAAAATGTACTGAAAGCAAATATGTACTATTTTAACATTCTGCCTGATTCTTGTTCATTAGCAAGAGATTCTCTAGTAGATTGGTTAAATGGCCTTTACTCCTTTTAAGAAAAAAGGGCAGAGATTTCTGTTATGTCTTTGAAGGAAAAGGTAGTGCACAGATACAAGCTTATCAAAAATAATAACACCTCCCAAAGCATCTGAGTGTGTATATGTGTGCATGCATGCATGTGGGTTTATATATATAATCAGGTATTCACAACTAGATTCATTTTCTTATTCCTCAGTAGCATTATTATTTCTGCTTTCTGAAATCTCATTATATATCTAGATCAAGGACCTACTGAAGTGCTTCCTTTCCTATATTAAAAAACATATTTAATGTAAGTATTTAAAATGTGGCTTTTGTATGGCTAACATCTACATGAAAACAGGCATATGAACTATGGTTAACCTCTGCAGTGCAAATGTCTGTGGGCCAGAGTGGGTTAATTTTTGATTGCCTTTGATTCTACCTGCATCCTCCGAACTGCAAGAAGCATGCACGAGAAAGAACAAAAACAGACTGGCTTTGTGATGTCACATGCATCTGCCTCTAAATTTTAGTATGGAACATAAATGGCAACAAGAATTGAAAGAGAAAACAGAAGAAAGGTTGCTCTTAACTGGAATTATTCCATTTGAAAGCTCTAAATTAATTATCTCTTCAGTTTTTGTGATTTCTCAAACATGGAGTACATGTATATGAGTGGTGATGGGATGTGCGCAATAAAAGGGGTCTCATAAAAATTGGCTATAGCTGAAATAATCCTTTGTCATACCCCTAACCACAACTCCCATTCGGTTAAATTGCCAAGTAACAGTAAGTAGGATATAAACAAAGTTAAGAGAATGATCTTTTTTAGTCAAGGCCTTGTGTTTAATAATGAACACATAGAGAAGGTAAAATTATAGTAATGCTGCTCATGTAGACCAAGCTTGTTAAATGAAAACAATACATTCTACAACTGAGAATCACACAAAGGAAAATCTCTGCTTTCGTTGAACAACTTAGTATTAATTCCTTTTATTGTTTACCATGTCTAATTTGCCTTAGCTCCATTTTATAGGCAATATTTAATTGCTAGTATTTTTAATTTGTCTTTTTTTAATATTATCATCTTACCTCAAGTGCAATTATCCATTCCAATCTAGTAGGAATAAATTTGCTCAGGAGTTACTGCAAGATAAACACTGCTTAGAAACCATAACTTTTCTATTGTATTTGTCTAGTTAATAAAGGGAGGCATTTTATTTTCCCCCAGTGACCACTTGTACTTTGTTCAGTAATTAAGGAAGTAAGTTGATGCTCCTACATTTTAGCCTTTCTATAACCTCTGCGGGTCTGTCCAGGATGCTGGAGCCAGTTGTATTCCGGTGTTGGGTAGTTAAGGAAAAGCCTGGGATGAAACCAGAGAGGATTCTAATAGTAATACTTTAAATTAATAATTTGATCAATATCAAATATATCAAATATGTTCTGCCTGAGAATAATCTACAGGCTTCTTTTAAGCACCTGCGTTCAGGGTTTTCAAAACCAACTCTTCAGCCACAATGGAATGCTTTAGAAACACACATGTCATCTCTATATTTTTATGTGTACATTTGTTCATAGGAGAAACTGCATTTTGCTGTCAGATGAGTTTGAATCCTGGTTCTACTAATTAGTTGCATGATTTTAGGCAAATTACATAGCCTCTTTACAACTTGGCTTCCCTATCTATAGGATGAAAATAGTAATATTGCTTACTTCATGGTGTTAATGTGAGGGTGAGGTGAGGCGATGCATATGAGTCAATATATGGTGCTAAACACACAATAAGAGTTCAGTAAAATTGTAATTATTACTATTGTTAAAATATATTTATATATAGACTGTGTTGGACTATAAAGTTGTGATGCTGATTTTTGGATGAAGCTCATGAAATCATCTTGCTTTCTTTTAATTATCAATAGAAAGCAGTTACAAGCAGTGCTCGTCAAGTACATTTTCTTGTTTTGTTCTACCCATGTTCCAAGTCTTCACCCAGATGTTTCCTCTTGATGGAAATTGCTCCTCACTCCACTCCCTCCAGCTGAGACCTCTTATTCTGTGTGGCACAGCACTCTGAACCCATCTCCATGACTGATTGGTCATTATATGTGCATTATAATCATTGCTTTCCATGTCTTCTTCTCCAGAAGGTGAACTTCATGTCCTGTTTATTTTGGCAGCCAAACTGTCTTGTGCATATGTGCTCATAGCAAGAAATCAACAAAGATTTCTTGAATAAATAAATGAAATAGAAAATATTGTTGCTTATGTATGCAAACAAATAGTGACCTGTTTTCAGTGATGTCCTTCCTTACATTATTTTGCCCTTATATTATCTTTAACCATGTTTTTTTTTTGTTGTTTTTATTTAAGTCATCTTCAGAACTTGGGACACATCATGCAGCATTTAGGAGAATTACATGTCATTTCACTTAATACCCCACAATTTCATGACATACTTATTTAACCGGGTGGGGAAGCAAACTTTTCTGAAACCATTACATTTGTAACTGTTTTATGTATGTTGACATGCCAGTTGTTAAGGCTAAAAAGAAAAGAGACTAGAGAAAATGATGTGAAAACAAAATCGTCATCCAGAAAAAGATTGTTTATGGAGTTTGATTTGCTGTTTACTAGTATTACAGGTGCCAGAACTCCAGATCAGACCTATGAACACATTTGCTACCTCAAGGCGAAATCCAGCTACATCCCTTCCTGGGATTAGGGCTAGGGTTAGGTTTGGTTAGTTGGCTTATCAACATCTGAGGCTCTGAGTGATCACATACTTTCTCAGGATTGCACACACAGCGTGGGATACTTGTGATTCAAGCCAAGACCTTTCTGACTAGTCAGAATGCAAGCTTTCCCTGCACAACATATTCAGGGTTGAAGTTACCCCATCACTTGTTGGTGTGGTCAGTTTGACCACTCCTCCCATGTGCTTGACTAGCCACTGTCTGCAGAACCCGTACGATGCTGATGCATCACCAAGCCTGACCCCAGAGGACACAGCACTACAGAAGAAGCTCTGCTATCTTGAGTGGGAAGGTCAGCAGGGGGCAGAAGCATGGTTGGATAAAGGGGCAGCAGTTGTGGAGCTGCCAGAGGTACTAACCTAAAAAGGGACAAACATGTTGAATAAATAAGCAAAATATAATATTTCCCCTCCTGTCAAGATAGACAATAAACTGTGTGTGTGTTTATTTGTGTATACATATATATGTGTGTGTTTATCATGATCTGTATTCTCAGATGTATATACAGTAGTGATGACTTAAAGTCTAGAGACTTCAAAATTCTGAAACTAAAAAGGCATGCTTAATGCCATTTAGCGGGATCAGAGTTCTATGTTATTGTCTAAATTTCAAACCCTTAAATATACATCCTTAGAAGTTTGCTAATTTTTGCCTTCCAAACAAATTTAAAAGGTGGAAAGAGAACAAGAATTACACAAAGATGAGAAATGTTTCCTGCCCCAGCTTCGTTTCTTCCTGGCTATAGTTGCTTTGGCTGTGGTGGTAAATACATTTCTTCATATAATTTAATTAAAATAAGTTTCTCCTGCTTCCACCAAATAATTAAATAATTGGCTGCTTGGCACTTTATCCCTGGCATGTATGTCATTGGTGGTGTTGAACATGATAGGTTGGCTGGCGTTAAGGCTTGAGGATCAGGTTGATAACTTTTGTCAGTGCTATGGGCACATTATTTTTTTCTGCTCACCCCCTTCCTCTCTGTGCTCTGTCATACACTGCCCCCCTTCCTGATCCTTAATTTCTTATGAGCAACTGTACTGTTGCCTGATTGGGAGGACTCATCACAGGCATAAAGACAAGGGAACACCCTGTGTCACTATATTGTCCCTGTATAAACTTGGATTTCTTTGGTACTGTTATTTTACCCAATTCTGCATATACCTTCAAACTTAATAAGATACATTTTTTTTTTTTTTTGGATAGAATTTGAAGCTTATTCTTTATCTTAAAAAAAGACCCTACATGCCACTTACAAGTAATTAAACATAGAATGTTTTATCTTCACAAAAGACCTGCAGGGTCTTTCCACCAATATAAATGTCAACATGCTGTTGATGCTGAAGTCTCTTGAAAGCCTAGAGTCTCATAAAATGTGGCCCAAATTAGGTAATTACTTAAGTCCTCTCTGTTCCAAACAATACATGAAACCAAGAAAAAGAAATGATTTGTTTTAACCAGAGGTAAGCCTTTAATGCGTGTACATATTAAGATTTGAAAGATTAACCTCTCTGAAAGTTCAAAAAAGAAAAAAAAAAACTAATGGTAACTGATTAGATATCTCAACTGCAGGGAGAAAAACAAACGCTTACGGGTAGATTTTATGTAATTTAACTTTGATTGTTTGTACTTTAGATTTCCTTAAATAACTCACGAAGAACTGTTGAAAACACCCTCTGTTTTCCAGAGAAAATTTCTTAGTCTGTGGAAGGGCTTGATAGATCCCTAACATATTGTAAGTGATATTTTGTGTGATAGCAAAAATATGTGAAACTCTTATTAGGTACATTATATTTTGAAAATTAGCTGTAAATAAAGAATGATGATTCCTCAACTGCTATTTTACTTTTATAGAGATAATAGTAATGCCTATCATATTAAGAGCTAAAGTGCAATACTTTGGACTTAGCAATAAGGTTACTTTTTTGCTTTTATTTAGTGTGCCCTCATTTAACATTCATTCACCTCTGCTATGGACAAGGCATATGGAACACAGAGATGATCGGGGCATGACCCATATGCCCAGATTGCTTATAAATCCAGCTCAGGAGAGAAGAAAAGTATCCAAATAACTGGAACAGGAGGCAGTGCTTCATAAGCATACCAGGAGAGGTACTGGGGTTGCGGGCAAGTTTGGGGCTCTAAGAGACCTTATTTGTTTGGGAGGATTTCAGAAGGCTTCTTGGATATGGTGGACTTAGAACAAGATAACAAAATAAGGGCAGGTCCTTGCCAGAGGCAGAAGAACAGAAGGAGATGGGAGGGTGTCTCATGTAGGGGAAATGGTAAGAACCAAAGAAAGACTTTGTGGGGTAGTGTCTGAACCCCAGAACATCTACATTTGACTAGCATAAGAGACATGTGGAGAAGATTGGGCGAAACGTCTGAAAGTATAGATTAGTTCCTGATCATGAAGGAACTTGACCACATGGATAAGGGGTTTGGAATTTGTTCTGAGGGTATAATCACCGGAAATGCCTACTCTGAAGAGGGACAGGATCAGCCATGCCTTGGGAAAATTCCTCTGGTAGTATGTGCAGACCTTCCATTCATGTTGGGATAAAGTTTCAAATCCTTAACATAGTCTATGAGCCCCTGCGTAATCCAGCCCCTTCTGTCTCTCCAGCCTTTCTTTCCAGGCAAGTGCCAGACCTGCTTGGGTTCTCTTAGCCAGTGGGTGGGTGGGTACCAAGCTGTTTCCTACTTCTCCCATACCTTCTCCATAACCAGTTCAGCACTTCTTTCACAACTTCGTTAAAAGTCATATTGTCAGGGAAAATCTCTGACCACCAAGCATCTTTCCTTTTTCTTTGTATTTATCACTTATCCTAGTGTTGGAATTAATAATTACTGTGTCTCTTCGCCTATTACAGATGAGAAATTTAAGCTTAGAAAAGTTTTCTTCCCCTCTCCACGACAGAAGAGCAAAGAAGGAGGAGAGCAGACTAGAGCTCTAAGAAGTATTTACCCCAGAATAAAGAGAAACATTTCTAGTGTTTAGTTGATTTTATGCAATGACTTCCTGCTTGTAATCCTTGGTTAAGTAAATATATATTTGTCCTCTTCCATAATATAGTAACTGTATATTGTCACCCTGCTTATTTAACTTCTATGCACGATATGTCATGTGAAATGCCAGGCTGGATGAATCACAAACTGGCATCAAGTTTACCAGGAGAAATATCAACCTCAGATATGCAGATGACACCACTCTAATAGCAGAAAGTGAAGAGGAACTAAAGAGCCTCTTGATGAGGGTGAAAGAGGAGAGTGAAAAGCTGACTTAAAACTCAGCATTCAAAAAACCAAGATCATGGCATCCAGACCCATCACTTCATGTGGAAACAGTGATGGATTTTCTTTTCTTGCACTCCAAAATCACTGTGGATGGTGACTGCAGTCATGAAATTAAAAAAACTCTTGCTCCTTGCAAGGAAAGCTATGACCAACCTAAACAGCATATTAAAAAACAGAGATATCATTTTGCTGACAAAGGTCCATACAGTCAAGGCTATGGTTTTTCCAGTAGTCATGCATGGTTATGAGCTGGACCATAAAGAAGGCTGAGTGCTGAAAAATTAATGCTTTTGAACTGTGGTGCTGGAGAAGACTCTTGAGAGTCCTTAGGACAGCAAGGTAATCAAACCAGTCAATCCTAAAGGAAATCAACCCTAACTATTCATTGGAAGGACTGGTGCTAAAGCTCCAGTACTTTGGCCACCTGATTCAAAGAGCCAACTCATCAGAAAAGACCCCGACGCTGGGAAAGATTGAGGGTAGCAGAAGAACGGGGTGACATAAGATGAGATGGTTGGATGGTATCATGGACACAATGAACAGGATTTTGAGCAAACTCAGGAAGACAGTGAAGGACACAGAAGCCTGGCATGCTACAGTCCATGGGGTGGCAGAGAGTTGGACAAACTTAGTGACTGAACAATAACAACAACATAATAACTAACTGTTATGGGGGTTTATAATTTTTATTTCCACATGAATGTGATCTTTGTATCTCACTTGACCTCATGACAATCCTGGGAAGTATGCAGAACTGATGTTACCCAGTTCTACAGATAGTGCAGTCCCGGGCAGAGAGGTGATTGGCCCAAGGGCATGGCTATTAAATGACAAACTGGGACTTTGTCCCCTTTAACTTTGAATTCTGGTCTTTTTGATTGAGCTATTTTCCCTCTCAAATAGAATATTATGAAGAGATGTTAATATAAGTACAAAAATGCTGTGTAATATGTAGCGTAAATATGCATTAATGTATGGAGAAATGGCGGGAGAGCAGAGAGCTGACTAAAAGAATGAAGTGAAGTCAGATTAGGGCATTGACAGACTCCCAACTTGTTAGAGAACAACATTTCTTTAAGTCAATTTGAAAAATTGGCTAGGAAAAAGGTATTTAAATCCTGCCGAAATGACCTCAATTTCTGTTCCAATAAATTACTGGTCTTCTTTGCAATTAGTCATCCAGCTTGTCAACCATATGAGCAGAGGATTTATTTTCTGTTCAGTCAGTTCTGTTGAGCAGATGGGCAGGCTGCCATATTAGACCCTGGCTGTGCTTCCAGGTAATATGAGGGGTGGGTGTGGGTGGAGGGGAGGGAGGCAGAAGCTAGGATTATCATCTGGAGAAATTTTCTTATTGTTCAGTCAGCTCTGAGATGATATCCAGGCTTTGTTCTAAAATCTAGTTTTAGATGTGTTGTTTGGAAGTTAAGAGATTTTTTCCCTATTGTTATGCTGACTCAAGGCCAGCTGGGCAGAGGGGAAACCAGAATGTGTGCAGGTTTAGCCCTTGAAAGCATTGACGGAGTGTTGCTTAGTTCATCATCTGCAAGGTGGGATCTTGAATGGCAGCCAGATTTAATTACTTGGAGGTCACCGGAAGGTGCTGTGATCTGAAGCTGGAGAGGAGCTACAGATCAGAGCCTGGGGAAACAGAGAAACTGGAGACCAAACTGCAGGAGGAAGTGGACATGGGTAAAGACTGATACTGCCAGAAGATGTTGCTTTTGCCCAGGTTATGTCACTGGAGTGTTGCAGAAATGTGCCCTCTTGCCCACTGGACAAGTGTCTATGCTGCCCACTGGATAACAACACAGTCAAGATTTCAATTTGGCCTTTCCTTTTAGATTAACGCAATAAAGTCCTAATGGGTCTGCCTGTTTCTACCCTTGCTTTGCTTAAGGGATATTTCAATACGGATTTCTTTGTTCAAAACCCTTAGATGACTTCTCTTTTTACTCAGACTAATAGCCAAAGTCCTTAAGATATTTACCTTCCTGGCCCTTACTTAGAGGATCTGGTCATCCATTGTTCCTCTTACCTGCCTCACTGGCCCTGGTCCTACTGGCGTCTTTGTAGCTTCTCAAATACACCAGGCATATTCCCACTCCAGGGCCTTTGTACTTACTCTTCTCTGGTCTTAGATCCTCTTCTGCCCTGCATGAGTCTCTTCTTTCATTATGTTCACACCTTTGTGAGCAATTGCCTTATCAGAGAATTCTTTCCTGACTACCCTACTTAAAAGTGCACCTCTTACCTCACCATCCTTCTTCTGTGCTTTATTTTCTAACATCCTTTTTTAAATGAGTTTATTATCTGCTCTTCACTAATGCAAAGTTCCATCAGGAAAAGGATTTTTGTCTGTTTTTAAAATTTTTAATTTGTTAACTCTTGTATCCCCAGTGCCTAGAACTATGCTAGACCTATAGTACGCATTTAATTGCTATTCAATAAATAAATAACTCTATTGGGCTGGCTTCTCTCTCTTATTTTTTCACCCATCCAGCCACCCATCCAATCATTTCTGACCCAGTTACTCATCACTTCCTCTGATACTGCTTTCCCCTTTGTTCATTATTATCCAATTTCACTTACACTCTTTTTGCTTCCTAATCTGTCCAAATTGGTTCCCTCCTGAAAGCCTTTGTATGTGTCCTTTCTTTTGCCTGGAAAGTTTTTCCTCCAGATCATCTCACGTCATTCAGATCTCAGCTCAAATGTCACCTCCATAAAGAAATCTTCCTTCTCCTCCATCCCAATGACCTTCTTCACTATCTTGTTTACCCTATTTTGGTATCATGTTTGGGATTAAATATATGACTACTTAAAATTATCTTGCTTATGTATTTGTTTGTTTACTCCTTCTGTCTTGTCCCCTGGTAGAATGTAAGTTCCGTTAGAGCAGAGATCCTGGTGGTTTTGTTTCTCATTGTATACACAGGACCTAGACCAAAGCCTGGAGCATGTTGGGGTACTTAATGAATATTTGTTGGTTGTATAATTAAGATTTCATTTCCTGGAATTAAACTATCTGCATTGAAACATCTGAGTGCGTGTGCGCACACACAGACACGCATTGAACCTCAGTTTCATCATTGACTCTCCCTATGATTATCTTTCTGTGTCTGTTTCTTATCTGTAATGGGTATTGTAATAGTGAATCTCTCATATGGATAAAGATAGTAATACTAATAGTGTCAACTACCATTATTGAGCAGTAACTACAGACCAAGCACTGTTTTAAACTCTACATATATTTAATTATTTAATTCTCATTGCAACTCTGTGAAGTGGGAACTATTTTAATTCACATATTTCACATGACCCAAGTATTGGAAAAGCAAGTAACATGTAGTTACAAATAGGTTGAAAGAGATTGAAGCCAAGGAAGTTTTGACTCAGAAGTTGTGCTTTTACATTTACTATTACCATGTTTGGAACATAATAATCACTTAATAAACATCAGCCATTATATCTATGTAACATTTGGAAATGAATACACAGTGGATTTTGTTATTTCCCAAACATATCAGCTGTGAAACCAGCAGCTTCATATTATATTCCAGAAAAACCATGGGGAAATTCACACTGATGTTAGAATATAATTCAAAAATATAAATCCTTTGTTACACAGGGAGTAATTAAAATACATAAAAAGGAATATATTTTATTTAATTTGACCATAAAATTTATTGAAGATATAACATGTGCCATATTATACTGGCAACTGACATCTGTTAAAACAAGCTTCCAGAATGCCAGTTTGGCTTAGGTAATTTTGTGAAAGAGGTTCGATATCTGTGTTCTGGATAATTCCCCAATAAAAATATCTTGGCAAACTATAGCACACAGGATTTCAAATTTTCTGTTGAAGAGTTAAAATTGAACTCCAAGCCTCAAATGTCAAAGGAATACTGTGTATTTTTTTGTTCTCTATTATTCTGTAATTTTCATTATGGATATTTGTATATTTGTCAGTATTTACTAAGTTGCAGTATTTTTTGAGAAAGCATATTATATATTCTTATGTTTCATACTGTATTTATGGCAGAGCTTTGCATTTTGTGTAGGGAATTAAAAACTTTTATCACTCATAGATAACCATTGTGCATATTTGGGTTTTATAATTCATATTCAGGGAAATTGTTTTTCCTGGAATTAGAAGATGACATTGAATGATTAAGTAGATATACATGTCAGCTCTGACTTATAGGAGACAGAGTATCTCTGTTCAAATGGAAGATTTGTGTTTAGACCTTCTATAAGGGCAGTCGGTGTACCCAGTGAAGGCATTTAGATAATAACGGGATATTAGATCTGGAAAGAACATTGGGGCCCTATAATCTAATTTTTTCCTTTTATATACATGAAAACTGAAAACCAGTGATGTCTCTAAGATAGCACAGCTAGTTAGTACCAGATCTGGAGTTAGGACACCAGGAACTAGGTGTTCTCATTCCTGTTTTAAAGACTTGTCAGAAGGAAGAGATAATATACTGGAGGAATTTTGCTTTCCTATTGTAGACAGCACAACTTAGAAAATCTAGATGAGTGAATAGTTAATGTGTCCATTGGAATATCTGTGTGAAAAACAAATGCTTTTAGCAAAATTTTCATGAGACTTTGAATCTGTTAAGGGTCTGTAGTGAGTAGAGATATATATATTTT